ATTTGGAGACCAACAGAAAACAACAAGAGATATCCTTTCTATTCTATTTTTTCAAATCTTATTAAAATTCAATATACATATTTTTATTCACTATCTTTAACTTAAAATTTTTATTCTACGTTCGCGATGAGTGAGGAATTGACGCAAGAGGACGATTTCGATACGGAGAGAAATAGTAGTCGTCTATCGCAGAGTCCAATTTATGATCAGGAAAAATATGGAAGTTCTAGTGGTGACCGCGGCGAAACTGAACGATTACACGATGATGATGGATCTGTGGTATTTGATATAGGCGATGAACATGATGAAAAGTCAACTTTAAGAGAAAGTGGAGAAATTAGTAATGCAAGTCGTGAGGTGTTGTCTAGGTATAGTATTAAATTTAAAAAATTTCATTGTTAATCAGAATTATTAATTATTATTGTTACTATTAGGCATAGTAATGAAGATGAGACGAATAATTATCAGGATGTTCCATCAACAAATTAAATACACATTTCAGTTTTTCAATTAAAGATTCATAGTCGAAAAAAGATTCATAACCCCCTTTCAGCATATTTGCATCCAAAATAATATGAAAACATTCAATATCATGTTAGTCTTCTTTTTTTCATACACCACCTTTTTGTTAAATCCAACGTCCAAGGAACATAATGTTGATATTTTTACGATGTAATTTCATTACCCTTTTGTTCATGATCTCAGTTCAATAAAATTTGGTATATTAACAATCCAGTGCGAGCGGGATGGCATCTTGAATATAATTTTATTTATTTAAAAATTTTATTTAAAAATTCTTTTTCAAAAAAAAATTTTTATTTGTTTTTTCTATACTATCTTTTAAAAAAAGAATATTTTCCCATACTGTATTCATAATAACAACAAAGAGTAGCCTTTAATATACCTGATTCATATTATACAGATTTCAGATAGCATTCGAATGTCTTTCCTCTATTTTTTTTCGACTTGAATCTTAGAATTTTACCGGAATATTTTCATTTAGATACACAGACTCAGTACAGGTTACTCATTATAGTGAATTCACAATATATATAGTGGGGATTGACTTACAGTGAATTTTTTTTAGAACAGAACCTTATTAATAAATGTGGCTGCTTATGCCAAGATTTTGGCCTGTTTTATTGTGAAATTGTTGAAGTTTTTGGATCTTCTTGGTGATCTTTTTCTCGTGTATTTTAGTAAAATATTTTCATCTTGAATCGTTAGAGCATATCAATATCGTAGTGGTCACGTAATTATGTAGTGTATATTAGCGAAATAATTACATAGTATTTTCGATCTGTTAGTGCATATTTGAGGGGCAGATTTATTTCCTAGAAAGGTAATTTCTATTTTTCGGCTAATCCGACTAGAGTTTGAAACCGGATTGGTAAAATTCATTTTCTTTGTTTTTTATAATGATTTGTAAAACGAAAATAGAATTTTTTTTTTTTATCGTTATAATTTGTGGTTATATCAAGAGTGACTATATTGATGTTAGACTGTACTCAGAAGCTTGAACTAATATAAATTACACGAAATGGATCGCGGTTTGAATCCAATCCAGTTTTCGAATCGGATTCGAATCGGATTCGAATCTTTGAAAATATCCGTCCGATCCGGTCCGTACGAAACACTAGTATTAACACTTATCTGGTTTAAAAGAAAATGCATCCTTTTTTATATTCATTCGAGTTTGGTTATGTTTCTCCATTAAGACCATTAGCTGGTCATTGAGAATTATGTGAGAACTTGGGAATTTTTCAAAATAAAATTCATTTCAGTTTGCAACTGACAAAGCTTGATAAGATTTTTCCAAAAAATCGATGATTGTTAAATAATATTTCAATTACCTTTATAAAAATTTTCAGAACACAAATATAGTATATTACCGAAGGGGCTGCTTATATTCAAATACGTACAATTTTATTAGTAAAACATAATAACCTTTACCAAATTTTCAGCTCCAAAATCTGGAGGGTTGCTTTTTTCTGAGGTTGCTTATATTCGTTAGTATACGAAAATAATAATACATAATATATACTTACAAAATCTTACAATCATCTTTTGTTTTGACGAAAACATAGTTTTTATTATTGTGGATTCAACATATACTGTATTTCTTGAAAAATTAAATCCAAAGAAATATAAAAAGCTATTTACATAGATGAAAACATAATTTTTATTATTGTGGATTCAACATATACAGTATTTCTTGATCCAAAGAAAATAAAAAAGCTATTTACATAAACGAAAACATATTTATTTTTATTTAATGTTATTAATAATATCTTATCCGTGTTTAATTCAAACTAAATAATGTTCTCAAAAGAGCTTAATTTAATGTTTTCAAAAAAAATTTTAATGTTCACTATAGTGTTTCTAAAGGTAGTTGTGATACATAATTCTGATAACCCAAATTAAAAACCCAAACCTGACCTGAGACTCTGATAATTATTGTAGCATTACTTAATTTTATAAAATAATTTTATAATAATAGAATTATACAGTACAAAATACAAATTTATAGATAACCAATTTGGGTTCAGGTCGACTCTAAACTCGATCTGAATAACCCTTTCGGAGCACTAGTTCATTATGTTGAATTATATTGAATACTTTTTTTGAGAACATTTTGAAAGATTAAATAAGAGAACCTTATTTTAAATATAAATGTTCTTTAAAAAAAAATTGAATGTTCTTTGAGAACATTGAATTTTAAACACTGTATCTTATTGCTGTATTAATAAAGATAAGAAAATAATTGTAATTGTCACATTATTTTGGTTCTGTTTAACTCGCTCCTTTATCTATTTATCCAGCGGAATAAACTTCTTACATATTTTATTCGCCCTTTTCTTGTCGTCTTTGCGGTATATATAATTATTACATTGAACTAGAAGAGTATTTATAGCTTGCGATAAAACGCACTCTGGACATCAGATTATTATCGCAGCTGAACAATACACAAGAAGAAAAACCTTCCAGCATCCAGAGATCATAAGGAACGTTTCCATTGTTTCACATCATTACCTTCATATGAGACCTTGAAAATGGAAGAAAAAAAAAAAAGAATTAAGTAAATGCTGTTGCTGCAAGGACGAGATATCCTAGAGTCGGATCTAGATTGCTCTATTCAGACACCTTATTTATCACAACCATAAAGGCTTTCAAGCAATAAAGTTAATAGTCACTGAACTCTTTTTTTTTTTGTGATTTCTATTTTTGATGATTTTTTTACTAAATTTTCTAGACGCAAGTTTTAGATTTACATAGTGAAATATAAAACATGTGTCACACAGTGCGAGTAGCGCACAAGTTCAGCAATCATAATTCATTAAAAATACATGCCTCTAATTGAAATCCTTTTTCAACTGGGGTTGCTTTCCTGGAGGGAACCCGGGTCGAGTCACACGGGTGAGTCAGGTTGAGTTGTAGCCAACCCGCTTGTAGAAAACTTAGACAGGAGGACAGGCACAAAAACCCAATTTCGAATTACCAAGCATTTTCGTAAATATAGATGCAAAGTTTCAAGTGTTGGCATTTTGTGCCCATGGACATAAAGGCTATTTGGTACAAAAAATGCCAGGCATTTGTTTAACACAGGATAACAATTTTGTGCATATGCCCTTAATAACGCCTGGTACTTTGTGTCTTTAATACATAATGCCTAGCACTTTGTGCCTACCTATGGGGTGCAAGTCACTAGTTCCTGACATAATGGCATAGGCATCTACCCACAGGTCAACCCGCTGTTAACTCCGTATACCTCTCAAATCTATATTGATCAAATTCATCAAATACTGTATTAACATATATATTCATTTGTCAGTGTTTTAAGTCTTTAAAATAAATTCAGTGAATTAGTTACTCCACTTTATATGATGGTATTCGTGACTGTATATATGTTATCCAAATTATTTACATAACTATTTCAATTATTTAGATATGCTTAATATATTCATTCGATTACATTTTTGTATTTGCAGCTTTAAGCTAAGCTTTTATGCAATCATTGATATCTTTTATATTATCTATCGCACTATCCACCAAGCGGAAGATGTGTTGTATCAGTTGCAATCTGTACACTTTCTATTCCTTCTATTCCAATTAATTCTTTTAGAACCAAATTTACCAAATACCAACATACAGTCTACCCTCGTTATAACGTAGCGAATATCCGCTATAGTGTTGTATAGTATCATTAATAAAATTTTTAAATTATTTCTACGTAGAGAATTACTCCGTTATTTGCTATAACGAGGGTAGGCTGTATATTTGTTTATCGTTATAGTGATCATTTATACCCTCTAATTGACTAATTGACTTTCTAATTAACTATATAATTTCATATGATTTCTAAAGTATATGCGTAAATTTGTTGCTTAAATAATCTATATACATAATTTCCTTTAAAATGTTTTTGGAATCTATATACTTAATTTAATGTTATATAACCTGTTTAGTTAAGTGTTTAGTTAAGTGTATAAAAAAAAATATACTTAATTTAATGTTATATAACCTGTTTAGTTAAGTGTTTAGTTAAGTGTATAAAAAACATGGCATTTCTCGTGCATGATATCAAAATGACAATCACATAAACTAACCATTTAAAAAAATAAATTAAAAATTACTACAGTACGTATATATACAATGTATAAAAATGATTTGTTTACATTTAACAGTATTTTATGATTGAATATTAACAATACTATCGTTATTACTGTATTAACAAAGGAATCTGACATGAAACCAATGAAAAGTTGTGTTTAAAAATGATAATACAATAATAACTGTAGATAATATATACATATGATTTGATAGATAACAGATAATAGTATCGATATTCATGCTAATATGATCATCACACGATCAACCTGACCACAGTAGGATAAAATTTATTATTTGGGGCGAACACAGTACTTGACATAAAGTATCAATCTTGATGAATCTGCAACATAAATTTATAAATTGATTTAATTGATTTGACCACATCAATAATAATACTTTAGTACAACTGACTAATCAATTTTTGGGGGAGTATCTCCATTTTCGGCGATTACTGGTTTATGTTTGGCGTGTGTATCATGTGTGGTATGATTGTTTTGGAAAAAAAATCGATCATTTAGTTAAAAAAAAAATCAATTTCTGTGTCAAAAATGTCTATTGTTTTTTTTTACCCCATTATTTTTCCTTATTACCGGATTGTTTTATGAAACCTATAAAAATAACAAAGAAATAGCCGTCTCATGCACATGTAGAATTTTTTTTCCTTATTATACAATACGTTTGTTTGTCATGTCTCCTCGAGCAAGCTTAAACCAGGATTATGATGGTTATTGTCTTTTAGTCATGATCTTTATTATTATTTAAACCTTTCGTAAATTAATCGTGAAAACTTTTCAATTCAATTGTTATTGTCTTTTAGTCATGATCTTTATTATTATTTATAACTTTCGTAAATTAATTGTGAAAACTTTTTTTCAATTCAATTAAAATTTTAAAATTTCAGGAATTAAAACATTTCGCAGGGCTGAAGTAACGGAATCAAGACAGATTATCAAAAGAAGTGTCAACGGCACAATATACTCTAATGACCAACCATGGTATATAATCATTGATAATAAAGTCTATGATATTAAAGATTTTGCACCTAATCATCCTGGTGGTGCTCCGATTTTGACGCATATTGGAAAGGATGCAACCGGTAATCACGTGATCGTTCTCACGTCATAGTACGTACGTACTTACAATAATTATTAACGTTTATATATGTTTTTCCAGACGTATTTTATTCTTTCCATCCGGAAAGTGCTCATGATTTCTTGGCAAATTATTATGTCGGTGATATAGCCCCTGACGATATAATTCTACCAAAAGGCAGGTCTTGTACATTAATTATAGATATGTACCGATATTTGGCGCTAACTTCAAATTATTACAGGATTTACAAAAAGGATTAGAGAACTTAAAGTGAAATTTACGAAGCTCGGCTATTTTAAATCTTCCAAAGTTTATTACATCTATAAATGCTTTTACAATATCATTCTTTGGTCTATATCGGTCATGATCTTGGCTGCCTTTGGTAATTCGTTACTTGGTGTTCTCTCTGCTGCCGCAGTAATGGCTTTGTTTTGGCAACAGTGTGGTTGGCTATCACATGACTTTTTACATCATCAAGTATTTGAAAAAAGATGCTATAATGATTGGCTTGGATGTTTTTTTGGTGCTCTTTGTCAAGGTTTTGATCCTTGTTGGTATGATTCATTTCAATATTAATCTTTTTTAAATTTTGCTTTTTTCTTATTTTTTTTTTTTTTGTTTATATGTGTTTATAGGTGGAAAAACAAACATAATACTCATCATTCTGCTCCAAATGTTCATGGTCAAGATCCTGACATCGATACTCACCCTCTTCTAAGTTGGTCTGAACACGCATTAACAGACCTGTTTGATTCTGAATTAGCCAGAGAACATGCAAAAGCCTATCCTAAATGGTTTGCTCGTCTCATGGTCAACAATCAAGCTATAAATTACTTTCCACTCCTTGCTTTTGCTAGACTATCTTGGTGTGCTCAAAGTATTCAATATATTCTTCCAAATGGTCAAAGTGGAAGTATCGGTGATACTCGTATGCCTGTGTCTTTACTTGAACAGATCTGTTTGTTGTTGCACTATGTTTGGTTTTGTTATATTTTTTCTTTTATCGGTAGTTGGATTTTGGTTTTTGTCTTTATCATTTCAGCACAAGCTATGTGTGGATTGTTATTGGCTTTATGTTTTTCATTAAATCATAATGGGATGAAAGTATTGACTGACGAAGAAACGATGAATACTGAATTCTATGTTGAACAAGTTATTACTGGAAGAGATGTTACTGCGAATAGTCTAATGGGTCGTTGGTTTGTAGAATGGTTTATGGGTGGATTAAATTATCAAATTGAACATCATGTAAGTACATGTACTTATTTTTTTTCAAAGGACATTACGTGTAAAGACGTAGGTCAGATTTGCCGTTAATTCGTTTTGCAAGAATCATCTGTTTTGATTATTCAACTTGGTTGGCCAATCAAATTCCTTCGGATTTCATTTGCCTAGTTCATACCTATATTTTTTTGTAATTATTTTTTAACTTTCAATCTTTCTCAATCTTGACATTAGATATTTCCAACTATGCCGCGTCATCATTATCATAAAATTTCACCAATCATTCAATCTTTATGTGCAGAATACAAAATACCTTATCACCAAACTACATTCATGAAAGGTACAATGGAAGTTTTTAATAGATTAAATCAAGTTTCATATGCAAATAAAAAATTAAATTAAAGAGTTCCAAACCAAAATTAATAATGATATTAAGATATTAATTAATCATATTTTTAGTTTTATTTGTTTCAAATAAAAATAAATTACTCTCTTGTTACATATAATAAATTACTCTCTTGTTACATATAATAAAATAAAAAAAAAAAACCTTAGATATGTTGTAAGTGGAAACAGAATTTAAGTGGATTCGGAATTTATATATAAAACCCCCCCGTTTGGGGTTGATATTATCATATGTACACTCTAACCCTAACCCTAATTTAACTAGGAAATTCCAAACCCACTTAAATTCCATTCCCACTTACAACATATACATTTATGAACTTTAATAGCTTATTTTAAATACATCACACTGATTAAATTAATGTTATAATTGTTGCTAGAAAATTTGCTATTGAGCTACCAAGAACCATGAAGTTTTTGGGCAAGTACAGTCAATATTAAATGCTAAATTATGGTAGTACGCAATTCGAGGAACCATTTTATTATATAACGATAAAATAATCATAAAATCGGTCGAAAAATCGGCCTAGTCAATTTTTCTGGTCATCAAGCCAAATCATATATTATTTTTTTTTTTAACAAAAAATTATTTATTTATTAGAAATTAAATAATTTAAAAAATTTTAACCAATAATTAAACATAAGAATTTTGAAACATTCGTTTTTTAAGGTACATGAGGAAAGTTTTATCGCAGAGGACCAGTGTTTTGCTTTAAAATAATGGACTTATGGACAAATTAAAATGGACCTCATTTGGACCATTCCAAAAAATTTAATGGAATACAGGTCCAGGGTTTGTCACGTGAAACACCTTATACCCAATCAAATTATTTAATGATTGCTGTTCTTAAAGAAGTTACACGAACAAAAGGTGCAATTTTATTGGCTAATTTCAATTTCTTTAATTTAATTTTTATCTGAAAATTCTTTTCATGCCCCATAATCACCTAATAGTTTCATGCCTCAAACTTACCCTAAGCCTTTCTAGCAATTTGGTTGGCCAAATATCATGTGATTGACTTGGGCATGAATTTTTGGGGCACGAAAAAAGAATTTCTCGATTTTTATCGAATATTATCACGTGCATAAGAAGCAAAATTTTATTGGACGATCTTTTCAATTCCAGATTCTATTAGAATTGAATTTGAATTGTATCATTCCAATTCCAACACTGCAGGGGACATATAAGCTCTCAAGACAATAATAGCTATAATACAAATTAGCTTTAACCAATGTTTATTGTTTTTACAATTAAAAATATCACTCTTACCGTAGAGCACTGCATAAAGTACCCCAAGAAATAGTACCCCCCTTGATTAAGACCCGGATATTATTCACCATACATAAAGACTTAACTATGGTTAGTACCCGGGTACTTTTCAAAGTTGAAACTTATGAAACTTGATTAGTACCCGGGTATTTTTCAAAGTTGGAACTTTATGGACAT